GAAAGGAGAATCACAATGTTTCATCAATTGGACATGTAATCCTCAGCAACATCAGAGCAAGAGGAGATGCACAGAAGTAGTTGCTCTCAGACGGAAGATTGGCGACAGATTAAAAGTTTTATTTTGAGGACCTATGTATCTATTATAAACAAGGCTAAGTTAAAGTTTAAGCAATACCAACTACCAATCAGCGAATGACCTCAAGTGAGGTTCATCCACGTGAGTTCAAGGTTGTATTCTGCTTGATTTGTGTCAAATGCCTGCTCTAACGAAGTTACGCTTTCAGTTTGATAAGGATAAGGTTTTGCAGTATTGCCTGGATGTTGGGTTACTTAAGAAGGAGAGAATTTGTTCATGTGGAGTTTATAAAGCTTCAGCAGGTCAATTGATGGATATGTCCATCGTTGTGCAATTTGCTTGAGACGAGTTAGCATTAGGGAAGGTAAGCTGATGATTTTAATATTTCATAGGAACATTTTTTACTAGGTAGCATCTCTCCCTAACCCAGATTTTGTATATTTGTAACTACTGGGTTTTAAAACAGCTTGTGAGAGGCGCAACTGCTGAAACTGAAAAAAGCCTCGTGTCAACAGTTCAGTAATACCAGCACTATAGAGACATCGCCTCATGAAAAAAGCAGGGAATTACTTCGTTGTTAGGCTGAGAAGGTGTCGTCATACACGTGGACGAAACTGTCTAATTGAAGAAAAAATACAACCGTGGTCGTGAGCGAGCCAACAATGTTTGGGTGATCAGTTTATATGACACCTCCCTGCAGAAAGGATTTGTGGAGAGAATAGCAGATAGAAAGTCTACCACCTTAGTACCTATTGTCACTCGTCTGATGAAACAGGGATCTATAGTACATACTGATGAATGGAAATGTTATAACTCGCTGTCATCCCTTGGATATACTCATCACAGAGTGAACCATTATAGTGATTTTTCGGATCCTACCATAGAGACACATACGAATTCTTTAGAAGGATTTTGGGGAAGATTAATAATAGTATTAGGGCCATAAATGGATATCAAAAGCATGCCATTTATAGTCATTTAGATGAATATATGTACAGAATGTGGTGTAAGTTTCTATTGACACTCCTATGCTAAACTGGGAGATGTTTCTGTCACATGTTAGAGAAGGATTCCTTATGTAACAGTTTTATGCAAATTTCATATACTTTTTACATAAATATACGTTTTCAATAATCGGAAACCTCCCTTTCATGTGATTGGCTCGTTGAAGGTCACTAGCTGATTGGTAGTTAGTGGTGCTTAAATTTTAACTTTGCCATAAACAACTTCTAATCACGTTATCAAGTAGCTAACTACCAATTCACAAGCGGCCAAAATTTACTTACACAAGTGAAACCTGAAGAAACTAACATCGTAGATAGATGCTATATACTGGTATAGCTACTCTTAATTGTCCATCTGACCAATTAAACTCTGATTAGTTTTAGTTCAATATTTCACACTACTTGAATTGCGCCTGTCATAAATGGCCTTTTTGAAACCAACTAAAAAATATCTTTTCGTCGATTTCATTTTCAAAAGCTGTACAATCGCATTTAAATACATAATTGTACATAGATAAAATTCTTAATTGATTCTACATAATTACGAAGGCGAATAAAAGGTGACAATTATTTCCAAATAGATATGGTTTACGAGAGTCTTAGAAAAAGAAATTACACAGGAGTAGAACGGATTACAAGGGTGTAGAAAATGAGCTTGGAAACAAATGGAAGTTAGGAGATGTGAGTATAGATTACAAGAGTTTTAGAAGGAGGCATCGGTTCAATCAGAAGTGCCATTATTGAACATCTCAACTGATTCTTTCAAAGTAATTTACAAAGTCAACAGAGACTTACTAAAAGCAGTATGTTTTCGACTTCTCTGTACTGCAGAAGCCCTCGCAATATACATCGAAAAGCCGGAGCTATGTGTTCAAAAGAAATTAGTCCAACCTCTACAACTACCATGGACCTAGTTCGGTATGTTCCCTTAGCTTCCGTTTTTTCTTTCGTTCTTGTTTTCGTTCGCTGTCTGAGTGTGATTCTTACTCCCTCTGTCTTCCTTCAATTCACCCCATTTTTTCAGTTATAAAAAAACAGTTATTTTAAGTTTGTTTCCATGCTTTTCCTGCTCACATTTATAATTCGTTTAAAATAACTATTTTACAATTATATCCTAATCCTGTGTAATTTTTGTTTCTAAGCCTCTCGTAAACCATATCTATTTGAAAATAATTGTCACCTTTTATTCGCCTTCGTAATTATGTGGAATCAATTAAGAATTTTATCTATGTAAAATTATGTATTTAAATGCGATTGTACAGCTTTTGAAAATGAAATTGCCGAAGCTATAACAATAAAACGGTTGAAGGCTGACTTACGTGTCCAAAAAGAATCCGTTGTTGGACTTCAGTTACCCTGGTGACTCACATCTTAGTAACTCTTTGTTTTCTAATTTTATTAATTTTGTTAACTTATCTTTTCACTCCACCCCCCTTTATGTTTCGCTAGACTCCCTTAAGAGATAATTTTTCTTGATCTTCTGAGTTCTGCTCACTGTATTACATCATCAACTTCTCATCTGACCTCATGTGCACCGTAATTTCAAAAATTTTGATCTTCTCTTATCTAATTACATAACTATTGCTAATTGTCTTTTGTTACCACCTTAACAACACAACTGTTAACTAATTTTTTCAAGAAACTTCTCTCTACCAAGATATATATATGTCGTGACACTTTAGACACCCTGTAAATCTCAATGCCTTATTTTATTATGACACTCTGACACTATGCTTGCTAATGGACAAAGGTTGTACGCAGCTGATGAGAACCAACGAAATAAAATGGATCCAGATTATTCTGCGCCAATGTTTCTTCTTTCTTTGTTCAAATTTATAAAAGGGAATCATTGTATGAAAATGAAATCACCGAAAAGACATCTTAGCTGAACTTTGTGTTCTCTTCTTCCTAATGTCCTTATGGGTGTTTTCCAGAAGTAAAAAAATTTCCCCTTAGTGATTTAGTCCCTTCCGAAAGATTATTTAGGTAAACTAGATACACTACAAACTCCTCTTATATAATCTCCCCGTACATCATTTTTTCCCAAGGGACAACATCGAAACTTTGATCAACAGTTGTGTAAAATTAGTCACTTCTTCACAGACTTAACGTATGCGTCGCCAAAAGCACTTCCAATGGGTTACTGCTAACCTTCATAAATGAAAAACACTTGCCATCAATAGATACCGAAGACTGGATGGGCAATAGACTGAGTGTGCGGAAAGATTAGACAACAAGGAGTATTCAAGTGTTGGTTTGCAGGGATTTGATTGGTTTCAGGATTTCATCATGAGGTGACATTAGTTAGAGAACCATTGGAAAACCTGGGAGTACTGGACAGCTGTTTCATTCTAGTTTGGGACTCTTCATCAGTACGCACCCACCAGGGGGTTTCGAACCCAGGACCTTCTGGTTACAAGGCGAGCTCGTATACCATTAAGCGTACTGATGAAGAGTCCCAAACTAGAATGAAACAGCTGTCCAGTACTCCCAGGTTTTCCAATGGTTCTCTAACTAATGTCACCTCATGATGAAATCCTGAAACAAGGAATATCATCAGATAACGAAACACCCGGCAATTTATTACTTAAAAAATACACAGAGAGAGAAAAGGAGATGGATTGGACACACTTTGAGGGTTTATAGTGATCCAGTTCATTATTAATCATCATAGTATACCTTCACTATGTAATTGGACTTTGGTTTGTTTATCACTCTAAAGTTTGCCTGTTAACAATTGATGCATTGTACTCGCTCAACTTTTGAATTTTGATTACGTTAATAACACACGTTCGTACTCCTTCTCAAGTGCCTTTTCATTTACGTTGTGGATGTCGAGTAATCACAACGTTAGGACACAATAATAAATGCGAAGAAGCACTAGGATATACGTGTACGCTAGTTTGGTCAAATAGAGCACCATATCAGGTTCATGAATAACCAGCATCTAGACAGTGCCGAAAGCAAAACACGCAATTCAGTGAATTCATTTTCTTCAGTTGTACAATCGCATTCTTCTTCTTATTATTATTGTTCCCTTGGGTTCCTAGAGGAACATAGGGCTTCAACTACACGCCTCCACTTGCTTCTGTCTTCTGCTGTACTTTTCACTTGCATCCATGTTAATCCATTCTGTTTCAACTCCTCTTCACACGATCTCCTCCATGTCATTCTTGGACGTCCCACTCGCCACTTCCCTTTCGGGTTCCACTCGAGCACTGGCCTGACGCGCGATGTCTTTCAGCGGCTTCCTCAGCGAGTGTCCAGTCCATCTCCACTTTCTCCTGCATATTTGTTGAGCGATTGGTTCTTGTTTTGTTTGTTCCCATAGTTTAATGTTGGTGATTCTTTCCGGCCACCTGATCTTGAGTATAGAGCGAAGACAGTTGTTGATAAAGGTCTGCAACAGGCTGTTGGAAATATTCTTTGTGACCCGCCAAATTTCTGATCCGTATAGAAGAACTGACTGACTTGACGTTTGTATTGAAGTCATTCTTATGCATTTATTCAAATCCTCCTAAGCACCAACTAATATTCACAACTATCATTATGACAACTCATCCCTTTTGTTACTACCCTCTATCATGAAAAAAACTGTACATAAATAGGAGAGTACAGCTAAAAAGGCAAATGAATTAGCTGAAAAGAACATCTTGGTTGAACCACATGTCTTGTTCTCATACTTTGAGGAGACAGAATTTCAAGTGACATCCTATGACAGTCAAACCTCTGGGTGGAACCTGACTAGGATGCAATGGATTGAGCATTAGCTGGAGAATGACATGGTGGAGATCGTGTGAAGAGGGAAAGAAAACTTCCAAGCAGTTAAAAGGGATCGTTGAAAGTGATTGTAAAGCGCCAAATTCACCTATAAACAACAAGTACACCTTCTTTCAGATAGAGAAAACCAAAGGAAAAACATGACTAATGTATTTTTTAACAAATATATATATGTATATGTATGTATATTAACGCTTTGTGTTGCATATTATTTCAATTTTTTTAATACAGATAATAGAATACACTAAAAATTATTGAAATTAACAATAATTTCAATAAAATTAAATCAAAAAGAAATCAAGAAAGTGAAGGAAAAACAGAAGGAGAAAAAGAAGGTTGATTAACCTTCGCACTAACACACAAATCCTGACAAATAACAAATACACATATAAATAAAGAGAAAGTAAAATGGAAAACACAACTAAAAGTGACATTGTTGAACATTGAATTGAATAAATAAATTAGTAAATAAATAAATAAATAAACAAATTAATTCATTAATTATAGGCACAATTCACATTATAAAAAGAAGCTGAGGAGAAAAAGAAAAAAAACCAAGACGCATTCTTTTTATCACGAATTGCACATTATGCCTGTATTATCTTGTTTATTTTTTTATTCAATATTTCAAGAGTTTTCAAGGTCATTTTGTTTAAATTAACTATTGTAAGTAAATAGTTGAAAAAAACGCGCGAAAATTAAACCAACAAATAAACGCTTACAATATTATTAGACACAATTGAAAAAAGAATGATAATAGTAATAATAAGGCAATATAAGTTTTAGAATAAGGATAGAATCGAGAGTAGAAAACACTAATATTAATTTAAATAAATGCAATTATATTTTCTTCAATAGTAATAACAATAATAATAATAATTATTATTATTAATAACACCTTTGGAATATTATTTCAAGACTAGTAAAGTAAAGTGATATGAAAAAGTCATTATTATTTCTATTATGATAGTTACTTGTGCACTCAGTGATTGCATTATTACATGAAGGTGACAACGAAAATGATGAAATTTCAGAAATTAGCACACACACACACAAGCACACAGGAACCCATATCAGGTAGTGAGTTTTTATCCGTCTCACTATCGTCTGTGATGTTTGCTTATAAAACAATCAGTGTATTTCTCCTCTATACACCTGAATGTTATTTAAATTATGGTAGAAGAAATGGAAATATGCAAAAGAAGTAGAAAAACAAAGTAAAGACGCTTCGATTACACGTTTTTTTCCACAAATGACATATGTTGTTATATAAATATATATATATATATATATATATGTATGTAGAACCCAGCTGTTTACGTCGGTGGAGAATAGATTGCGGACATAACAAGAGGGAAGAAAAGAGCCCGGTCCCGCAGTGAGAAGGAACAGGGGACCAGTGTTCGTTATTTTTTTGTGTTTTTTTCTCAGGAGGCGGGGTAAGAAATAAAAGACAAGATACGCAGAAAAATAAATAAAGACTGAACTATAAAACCAAATGAACAAACAAACAAAGGAATAGACGAAAATGGAGAATGAAGCTCATTGCGAGTTGGAAATCAGCCGGCACTAGATCTTATTTACTTACTTAGTTAATTGTTCCCCAGACAATGACAACAGCAACAAGAAAAACGACACCCTTTGACAATAAATGCTACTTCTGTTGTCGTTGCTGTCCTTGTTGATCTGTTTTTTTAGGTAACTGTAATGTAGTCAAGGCACTACTTCGTCGACGATGTAAATTTTCACTTGGAAGGAAGATTGGCTGGTCGATAGACCAATCAGAACTACGTGTATCTGACGATTTTGTAGTGATTGCATGACATGACGTTTTCCTGGTGTTATTATTATCATCGCCCCTGGTAGTTGGGGTAAGTAGGGTAGGAGGAATATGAACAGGATCGCCTTCTTTAACTTTACCATTCTTACTCTCTTTGCTTGTCTTGTCTGGTAAATTTGAATGCAACAATGAAGGGTATGTTAGATTAGGAAAACTTTCATAACTTGTCGACTGTAGAAGATCTGATCTGCTGATCACCTGATCACTACGATCATATTGCAGTGGATATTTTGGTATACGATGATGATGACAGATAAGCGGATCAATTGATGAAGCCGTGGTCGGTGATACAGTTGGCATAAGAAATGATGAATGCGTCGTTGTCCTTGTCCTTGTCCTCATATCATCTTCATAATTACTAAGCATATTTGATTGACAGTCAATATGATTATTGTTATTATTATTTATGGAATGTGGAAATAAAGTGTTCCCCGCCGCCTGTGTAACAACATAATATTGTCCTGGTGGTGAAGGGACACTCAATAGACTACTGAAACTATGCCCGTATACAGGAGATAAAGACGGGCACAGTTTTGTTCGACACTCTTCACTTGCTGACAACTTTTCACATGGTCCAGTTGGTTGTACACTGAAATCTGTTTGAATTAAATCACTAGTGGATGAGGTGAATAGTATTCGCGGACTAACCACTTGAACTAAATCAGAATTAACAAATAGATTTGTTCTCAAGTGTTCTTTCATATTATGATGCATTTCTAGTAGTGACATGGTCGACATTGCTGTTTGTGAATGATGATGATTATTACTGAAAATTGTTATTTCTTCATCTAAATGTTTCAATCGATCGGGTGTAAAAGTCAATGATGGGATTGTTGTTGGTCGTAGAAACCATTCAGCACGTCGATTTAAATTTTCCATTTGTCGTCTACGTAAGGATCTATAACGACTTTGATTACGTCGTAGATTTACTACAGAATAAGAGCTTGTATTCATTTCACCATTGTTATTATTATTATTATTTAATAATTTGCCTGTTTCATGAACGTCGGCTTTAGCATAGGAAGAATATTTGACATCTTTAGTTTCCGCTGTTGCTACATCTGATGTCTAGAATAATTCAAAAAAGAGAAGAAAGGCGAAAGTGTAAAATTTGAATCAGGCAGTTTGGTAGAAAGTCTTAAAACGAAGTGGGTAAATATACGGAGATGATTTACAGGATTCTGAATTATGCAATATTAACAACTAAACACTGTTCCATCAAGTAAATCTCCGCAGACAAATACTTGAAAATTATAGGTTTTATGGGGTGAGATCAGTCAGAGAACCATGGGAAAATCAGGGAGTACTGAACAGATATTCTGTCTTAGTTTGAGACCCTTTAGTGCTACGCATCCATGAATGCCATCAAAGATTGAATCCGAAACTCTCTGGCTACATCCACTGTGATCCAGTGGATACATACTTCTGAAGAGTCTCAAACTAGGAAGAAACAGCTGTCCAGTACTCTTTGGTTTTCAAATCATTCTATTACTGATGTCAGGCAATGATCAAACCTATAGACAATCATATCCCTGGAGTTCTTCTGGTGCGAAGTTATGATTGTTGAGGGGTACCAAATCAGATGCGAGGACACACACTCATCGATGACACTGGAGTATCCCGACCCAGTCACTGAATGTTCGATGGGCTCGCTTCATAACCTGGAAGTAGTGGTTATGGGTGCGTAATAGTCAACAGATCAGTAATAGATCGAGATAACTATCTAGCTCTCCGTGGATTTTAATGATTCTTTAACTGATGTCAGTCATTTTATTTGATGTAGTCAAGTTAACTTACTTCACATGACTGTCAAATAAGATAAATATTACTTTTACCATAGACAGGCTTACAAACCAGTTACACTTCGTCATAACATATTTTGGAGACGAGGTATTCATATCAGTGCAAACAGTTCCAACGCGCCCCTAAATCCCACCATATCGGTAATGATACCAGTAAAGAGGGAAAGTTGGGCATGAGGCTAGCAACTCCACCCCGCGTTAAGAATAAACGCCACCGCTAATGAGACTTCACAGCTCTAGGCTTGAAGTCCTGTGTTCCACTAGGAATGTAAAAAGAAATAAACTTTTTTTGTATTTATTACTGCCCTCATTTTTTCACCTATTCTCACTTCACATCAACTGATAGAAATCCATATGACTAGTTGGTTAGTTAGTTAGTTATACATACTATTTATATACTACCGACTTAAATATCAACTTTATAATTTATATTAAGAAAACGTTTCAAAATTATGATAGAATTTTGTCATATATAATTACAAATAAAGCATAATTTTGCCTGATTTCTGGACACAATTTTAAATTGAATGTATTTTGCAGTTATCGTTCAATTGTGTATGCCGCGCCTTTTGTATTTCCCACTTTTTTTCAAAATGGTGAACTCTCATTGGTTGGTAACACTTTTCAATTTATCAGTGAATTTTGGTGTTAATTGTCTTGTGTTGTCACTCATTATGTTTCAACAAAATATACAATTCCAGTGAGATAGTGAAATGAAATGGCTAGATTGATGGAGTGGCAATTGGTAGGCCTATATGGGCAGATATTTTGATGCCTGGTCTTGACCAGACAAAACTTAAGTGTGCAACTGATGCTATGATCTGGGTCATGCTTTGTATCTACTTGGATTATTCAACAGTGGATATGAAAGTGTCACTTTGCCGATGAAATGCTAGGATGGTGAGAGATACAACTTCTCAGACATCGAATTTGAGCTTAATTTCAACAACTTTTGTGCCTACTTAGCTATAAACGAACATCTATGAAGACAGTGTTCTGCTACGAACACCCTCCTCTTTGGTGCTGTCAAAGATCCAGTCAAACACCCATTGTATGTTACCTCCAACTATATATATTAATTCACATGTACCTGTGGGAGTGGTTACAATGGGAGGGCAGAAAGAAGGGCCTATGTCAAATTCTTTGAACATGTACCAAAGGGGCTTCGGTTAAAGGTTCAGAATAGATTGAACTCGCCAATCAACAAACACTTGATAAATGAAGGAAACAGTAGAGGCTCTGGGAGCATTCAAAATAATTAATAGACAAAACAATCTGTCTACATTAGCTTCTTGTTTCTTATCTTCTCCAGCAGGCCATATGATCTGCAGTGTCGATTGAAGGTGGCAATGCGGAGCAGACCTCCACATTGATTTCAGAGTATTAAATGAAGGTCCTACTATGCCGATGAGATCATAGTTTCGGAATTTCATTCAAGCCTCCTGTATTTGAAAGGATGCGGCCAAGTTAAGCGAAAGAGACAACTTCCTTTAAATGCCTAGTTTACTAACCGGTCCTGAGTACGAAAAGAAAAGGAAAGTTGAGGGTGTAAAAAGCCGTATCACTGCAGAAACTTCAAACACCGAAAATAACAGATTTATTCTCCACTGGGATCGAGGAGGACAAGTGACGCCAGCGGGTGAAAGTCTTCAGGAAATCACTAAACCACTGTGTCTTCTTTCGATGAAAGCAATTGAAAACTGACCGCATTTTTATTTCACTTTTAGAAAAAAAATTAAAATCAAAACTTACATGTCCAGATGATGTAACTGAATAGACAGGTTGAACAATCATTGACTCCATAGGTTTATCTTGGTCCACTGTAGTTTTATCAATATGCTGATAATATGTTGACTCCATAGATGATTCTCTATGCATTTGATGCTGTTGTGATTGTTTAGATTTTTGTAGTCGATTTGAATCTTTCAATGGGAAACAGAAATGTTTTACAGAGGATGTTAATGATGCTGGTGAGGACGGTGAGAAACCGGGAGAAAAGCTATTGGTCACATTAGCGTTATTATTATTATCGCTACCGTGGTGATCACTTGCAAAGCAGAATAAACGACCGGCAGCGCTGATTAGACGAGCTGAACAAGCCGACTTGGAATAAACTATTGAGAGAGAGGGAAAAAGACACAACAACAAAAATGAGGAACAAAAGTTATGCTTTCAAAAATTAGTTTTTGATTGGGAAGTCATTGTAATACCATATAAGGGGGGGGGGGGCATCTGAGACACTACATACGCAGAATTCTCAATAAAGCAGGAATTAGAGTGGCGTTTAAATCTACACACTCACTCAGGGACAAGCTCTATAGGTTAAAAGACGCTGAAGTTTGACTCAATTAGACAAAACATAATTTACAAAATATCTTGCAATGACTGTGAGTTAGGTCAACTACATAGATCAAACTGGTAGATTGGGGGTAGTCAGATTGTCGGAACATAAGAATTTAGCTGAGGTTAGAATGGTTGACCTCGAGAGGGTAAGTAAGGAGAAAGCTCAGCAATTGCACTGCTTCCATTAACACAAAACCATACAATAGGGTGAGGGAGGGTTTAAATTCTAAGAAGTAATACAGGTAGGTAGAGAGAAACAGAGGCTGATTACTGAATCCTGCCTGGTTCATCGAGTTTGCAGCCAACTCGTGCAATAGAAATCACTCTTCACTTAAACCGGGAATATAGAAAATACTACTACCAATCAAGTCAAGCAATGAATTGAAATAATGGAATTATATAAACGACGTTAGACTGTTGGACGAGTAGTGGCTTGATATGATGACTATGAGCAGTAATAAATTGTGCTCAAAACGTGGTCATCAGTAAGTAGTATAACTGTATAACAACACTGTGAGACTTTATAAAAATAAATTTTATCCATAATGGAGCTAGAAGTCCCTTTGAGAGTGACATGGAAGAGATCGTGTAAGAGGAAGACGAAAGCTTATGAGCAATAGTGGAGCTAGTTAGAGAGGACTGCTGTTGAAGTCGAATTTTTCCCCTGGGAACCAAAGGTGACAATAGTAATAATATGAATCGATAACAGTGAAGTCAAATAGCCAAGGCCTCTTGTGAATCGAACTCCGATTACAGTATATTTTTAGTTTATTTTACGATAACTGCATCATATACTGGGTATCACAATAAGTGATCTCTCCGAAGAGCTTGACTTGGTTTCAAGTCAGATTTTTTTTATGTACTTCTCAGATTCAACTGTCTTTTTTTATCCTTCACGTTTCCCAGTGGAACATAGGGCTTCAAGCTAGTGGCTTGACGTTTCTGTAGCAGTGTTTAATTTTTACAGGATGGTGTTGCTAGCCTCATGCCCAACCTTTCCTCTTCACCAGCATTATTTCTGGCTTAGCGAGGTAAAGTAGTGAGTCGGCCGGGGGTCGAACCTCGGACCATGTGCGTGGTCGGCGGGCGTCATAACCGCTATGCCACCGACGCCGATTCAACTGTCTCCTTGTATTTAATATGGGTCATTAAAGCTATGTTGAATAAATACAAATAAAAAGAAGAAGCAGTATGAATTACCTGGTTTCGAAATATTCAATTTTGAAACACCACGACTAGCTTGTTTTGATTTTCTCAGCTTATAACGATTGTTTAAAACATCCCAGTAGAATTGTGTAAATTCTTTATCAATAACAGGAAAACAAAGTACCAAGGATTGAAGGACCTGAAAAGGAAAAGAAAATTGGAATTTTAATATAACACTGTGTGGTAAGAACAACTGTCAAAGATATTTAGGAGATATTGAGTGTAATTGGTGAAATTTAAGTAGTGTTTTCTTCTGGGAGCAGTGGTGATTACTTTCCAAGAGGATTCAGATTTTTGAAAGGAACCAGTCTAGGTACTCTGGGTAACGATCACAACCTTCAAAATAGCGATGTGCTGAAATCTAGTTACATGGAGTTAACAAATTTATGTGATAATTAACTCTATTATTGTTTTGCTTCCTTCAGCTCAGAAAGGGATTGAAATAGCGGTATCGAGATTAAGTAGTAAGACAGCTAGGAGAAAGTCTAATCTTCGCTCTTATCAAGACTTAATATCGGCTAGTGAGTTAGAAGCAGCAAAGACAGGACTCCAGGTGAACATAGACAAGACGGAGGTTATGAAAATAACCAACCAACAACAACAACAGCAGCAGCAACATCCAGCGCCAATCACCATCAACGGGAGGGATTTGAAAGAGGTTACTTCATTCACTTATCTAGGGCGCATTGTCTCAACTACAGGAGGAACGGACGACGATGTCAAATCGAGAATCGGGAAGGCGAGAAACACATTCATCAACCTGAAACCAATCTAGAAATCTCCGTCACTCACTCAGCATCAACAACAAAATGATTCGGATTTTCAATACAAACGTCAAGTCAGTCAGTTCTTCTATACGGATCAGAAACTTGGCGGGTCACGAAGAATATTTCCAACAGCCTGTTTCAGACCTTTATCAACAACTGTCTTCGCTCTATACTGAAGATCAGATGGCCGGAAAGAATCACCAACAAGAAACTATGGGAACAAACAAATATGCAAGAGAAATTGGAGATGGATTGGACACTCTTTGAGTAGGTCACTGGGTGACATTGCGTGTCAGGCCATAGCTCGAGTGGAACCCGAAAAGCAACCGGCGTATGGGACTTCCAGCGGTGACATGAAGGGGATCGTGTGAAGAGGAGTTGAAACAGTATGGATTAACATGGATGCAGGTGAAAAGTACAGTAGAAGACAGAAGCAAGTGGAAGCGTGCAGTTGAAGCCCTATGTTCCACTAGGAACCCAAGGGAACAATAATAATAGTGAGTTAGACAAGGTTTACGAGTAAATCGGCCGGCAAACGAGCTCAAACCTCCCGCTGTTTGGTTGTTGACAGTTCTTATCATTGAACCATCTATGAGTTGGTGATCAATTATAGTGATCAGCTTCGACTACAGCAGAATGTGCAGCTAGAGATCTTTTTTTCCCTCAATATAACTTCTACTGACATCTCCACTTTAGCTTCAACTGCTATCCTAGCATAATAGCACCACACTTACAACACTAGATCGGATAGTCTTTTTGCCATTCTTTTTCTATCATCTGTCATGGTAGAAAGCAGCTAAACACCTGATCGACTGCTGTCCCTCTGTCAACCCTCAGCATGATTTTAAGATCACCTACCGAATCCATGCTAACTTGCGACTCGTTTTATTCGTTACAGACTTCTAAAGACAGCTGAGGCCTTGACAATTCATGACTTTAAGCCAAACCTTTGTGTACAAAAGAAGTGTGTACAATCCCTACTTCTGCCTTGACTGTAGAGGATAGACATTTGTGTATTTATTTATTTATTTTATTTAGTTATTCTATGTACCCTTGCCTTATTAATACGACTATTATTATTATTATTACTATTCTCACTCTGAATTGTTTCCACTTGTCCTATTTGTCATTCTAAATCCAAAATTAGAACTTTTTATTTTTACAATATTGAATTCTATCTAATCAAATTTCTCACCATGTTATGTAACATTTTATATTCGCCTACTAATGCTATAATTATGCACCCCGTTCCAACATCTATACACCTTATGTATTATTCTATGTATGACATTAATTGTTTTGCTGCTTGACATTTAACTATGATTATAATCACAAATATTTTATTTGCATTTCATACTATTATTATTTCATGTATTCACAACTTTGGTCTAATTCCCTCACCGGATATAATTTCTTAAATAATCATATACACACGATTGTACAGTTTGATAATAAATTCGTTGAAAAGAGTCTCTTCGCTGAATATTATGTTCTTAAAGTCACATATGTAAAACGGAATTTAATGTTTGATTGGTTGGAGGATTTCATCATGAGCTGACATCAGTTAGAGAACCATTGGAAAACCAGCTGGGAGTACTGAACAGCCAACTGTTTCGTCCTATTTTGGGACTCTTCATCAGTACGCACCACCACAGTGGGATTCGAACCCAGGAACTTCAGGTTAAAAGGCAAGCTAGCTAGTAGACCATTAAGCCACTGGGACCCGATCCAATGGCGGGCCTATGAATTCGAATTTGATGTTGTCTTGCCCATTTACCCATCTGTCTGTCTGGATGATGAACCATGTCATTTAGTCTCACGACTAATAGTTACCTGACACCTGAATAATATGATGTTCTCAACACAGGATAACCATGTCATGCACTTGGAAAAAGACTGAATTTTCTTTCTCTCTTTTAAGATAAGGAACCTAGGAAGCCTCATGGAGTATTATTAAAGATCCAGGAATAAAAGTGACTGGCATTCAAACCCCCCACAAACTCGATTAGAAACAAGCCTTGTCGGTTAAAGCGCCCTGCCAGTGGAGCCAATTAAACATAACAGTTTAAATTATCTAATACCCCACCTGCAATGATTGTCAAGTTAAATACATGGGTCAAAGTAGTAAAACAGGGACAGTCAGACTAGTGGAGCATAAAAATCTGGCGAAATCTAGATTAGTTGATCCGAAAAAGATAAGAAATCTGGAGAATAGTTCAGCTATAGCACTACACAACATGCAGTTACACACAAACATACAATAGGATGGATGGGATAAGATGACAGTTTTAAAGTCTAATGTCACAGGAAGGAGGAAGAGATAGATAACGGAAGCTTTATCTATCGAATCAACTGCAAGCACGTGCGATAGTACCTGTCCATGTTTTAATCGCTGTGTTTTCCCAACTATCCATGAATATATCTGCCACCATCATGGATATTGGCAACTCCCTCAGTTTGTTTGTATATTTTGCCGTGGGGTCATCAAAATAAAATCTTATCCATAATGGAGTTACACTCTACCACAGTGCCCAAGTTTTATACTTGTAGCAATTCAATTCACTCATGAATTGGAAAGTCAGGAAGGACAGCTTACAATGTTAGATTGTAGCGTAAAAAGGAAAGAAGATGGGAAGTTAAAACACAATAGTGTTTTCAGGAAACCCACACATTCAAACAGATATTTGAATTTCCGATCATAACATCCTATGTCAGTGCAAAAAGGATTGGTGAAATGTCTGAGTGATAGGGCACAAAAACTAAGTAGTATCAAGGAAAATCTAAGACAGGAAGCGATACATATAAGAAAAGCCTTGAAACTTAATAATTACGCTGAAAAATTAATCAGGAAGTATGTAGGGAAATGTAGAAATAAAATACATAAAAATAGTAGTGATAGTGACAATAATGATAACAGTAATGACGACATGCATGTCAAATATGCGCAAGATAATGACAGCACCAACAATAGGGAATGTAAATCATCAGTAGTACTTCGATACAAAGAAGGTACCGCGGAAACGTTACGTAGAATTCTTAACAAGGCAGGAATAAAAGTGGCTGGCATTCAAACCAACCAAAAACTCAATTAGAAACAAGCTTTGTCGGTTAAAGGATCCTATGAAGCCTTTAAGCAATACAATTTAGTTTATGTAATACACTATCCGCAGTGACTGTCAGGTCAAATACATAGGTCAAAGTAGTAGAACAGGTGTAGTCAGACTAGCCGAGCATAAAATCCTGGCAGCAAATCTAGATTGGTTGGCCCGAAAAAGATAAGAAATCTGGAGAATAGTTCAGCTATAGCACTACATGCAGTTACACACAACCACACAATAGGATGGGATAGGATGAGAGTTTTAAAATCTAATGTCATAGGATGGAGGGAGAGATTGATAACAGAAGCTTTGTTTATCGAATCAACTGAGGAGAATACATGTAATAGGAATGATTCGACACCTGTCCTAGATATCTGGAAAATTCTTCTACCTCTACGACGACGAATAGGAAAGAATAAAGAAAATAATAAAAGTCAAGTTTCGAAGTCATGTGATTATAATTGATGGCATTATTATGAACAATAATGGATTGTGTTCGAAACGGTGTCATCCAGTAAATAATACTGTTTCACTCACTGTGATTGATACATCTAATAAACAAACTAATATGGAATAATTTACTACCGCATTGTGCAAGTTTTACACAAATATTTTCCAATTCAGTTTTCCCGTTGACTGATTTGACCGAGATTTTCTGATTCTGTTGGCATGTTGCCTCCTAGTACGCGCACGCTTCGGTGATGTCTCAGGACTAATTTGCAGTAGTTTGGTGGATGGTGCGAACACTACCACTATCACTAGGGAATGAGGGCATATCCAGCTGATAATTTCGAAATGCTCGTCACCATCCATCGAACTACTTCAAGTTAATTCTCAGACATCGTCGAAGCATTCCTACTAAGAGCCAACATGTCAACGAAGACAGAAGATCCCTGTAACCCGTCGATCAACTGGAAGATCAAAACTGATGCCCATTACACACAACAGTTGGCTCTCATGGTCATAGTGTTCTAGTGGATAACGCCCGGGAGAAGTTTGCGACGATGGGTAGTGGATTCCAGCATCAGTGGAAAAACCATCACTCACTCACTCACTGGTGAATGCATGTAAAACCAGCTAGAGAGTTCCAAAAGCGAGGATGAAATGAGCATCCTGGAATCCACTGCCAGTCACCATTCACTAGACTATACTGAAATTCATTTAACGCATTTCCAGAAATATATTATACACAAGAGTGGGATTTGGGCACTGAGATAAAATATAACTCCATATTAAATAAATAAATTTGTTTGACATTACATACAACCACTTAT